TTCCTGGTTTCAAGTCATCATCCAGGCTCAGCCTCCTAGGTAACTGGGACTAACGGCGGCATGCCACTGTGCTCAGCTAATTGTTAAAATTTTTTGTAGAGTCAGGGTCTTGCTATGTCACCTAGGCTGGTCTCCAACTCCTGGTTTCAAGCAATCCTCCTGCCTCAGCCTCCCAAAGCCCCAGGATTACAGGAGTGAGCCATCTCGCCTGGCTGAACATGGGTATCATTTAAAAGAAAAAAAAAAGACAGTCCTGTGTTTAGAATTTGCCAGAAGAATTGGAAGCCCATAGTTACAGTTCCCAGCCTTTGATGTGTTAGCACCCACATCCAGTGCAAAATAGTGGCTTTCCAAAGGAGAAATGGAATTCTCTCCTGTGTCAGAGACTTGAGTTATAAATTATACAATCAGAGGAAAGGACTTAAAATGAGAGGAGGTGAGTGGATATCTCCAAGAAAATGGTTTAGGTCACCCCAAGAATTGTCATTCCTGAGGTGAGATAACAGGACCTGGCAGTATGAGACTCATGGACACCTGGATCGCAAGGTTCTGTCTGTCAGTCAGTGTGACACTGAGAAAGATCAGAGCCAGAGCCAGAGCCAAAAGCACAAAGCAGTAATTCTGATCCTGTCTGTTTTTAACATGTTGATTTTTTTTATCATGGGTTTTTTTTGCATTTATTTTTATTTTTAAAAGTATCACGTTAAAATATTATTTATTTTAATGATATGGTGTGTCCCCACCCAAATCCCATCTTGAATTATAGCGCCCATAATCCTCACATGTCATGAGAGGGACACCATGGGAGGTAATTGAATCATGGGGGTGGGTTTTTCTCATGCTGTTCTCATGATAGTGAATACGTCTCATGAGATCTGGTGGTTTTATAAAGGCCAGTTCCCTTGCACACGTGCTGTTGCCTGCTGCCACGTAAGACATGCCTTTGCTCCTCCTTTGCCTTCCACCATCATTATGAGGCCTCCCCAGCCATGTGGAACCGTGAGTCCATTAAACCTCTTTTTCTTTATAAGTTATGCAGTCTCAGGTATGAAAATGGATGATATACTTGATTACTGGGATTTCTGGCCCCCTTTAAATTTGCATCCCAGCTCAACACTTATCTTACTTCCTCACCCTAGTCCTGGCCCTGCTGCAAACAGCATTGAATCTAGAAACTTCCCAAGCTTGATGTCATACCCAGCATGGGAGAAAAGGTAGCAGAATTCAAGAGGTGAATGTGAAACAAATCAGAGTTGAAAAAAGAAAATTTGAGCTAGGTGTGGTTGGCATACACCTGTAGTCGCAGCTACTCGGGAGGTTGAGGCAGGAGGATGGCTTGAGCCTAGGAGGTCCCATCACTGCACTCTAGCCTGGATAACAGAATGAGACTCCATCTCTTAAAAAAGAGAGAGGGCTGGGTGTGGTGGCTCACACCTGTAATCCCAGCACTTTGGGAGACTGAGGTGG